CTAAACGGTGAAAAATACCGTCCCCAAGATATATCACCCATCAATATTTTTAGCTTTGTAACACTCAAAAATGAAATTCTTGATTTTCTAGGATGGCCCTACTACATCTTAGAAAAATTGACTATTTTATACGCAATGTTTAACTTTATTGGATTTCTTTTCTCACTTTTAAAAGGAATCTACAACACATGTGCTATACACACACAAGTAAACAGACAAGCAAGCGTAGCACGCATACTCTTTGCAGGATTTTTTGGAATTTTTTCTACATCTATAAACAAAATTCTTTTAGATGCACAAATAAAAGAATATAACACAAAAATAGCAACCAGACAGAACACATACGACGAAGAACATCACAATGTAGACACAACGCCAACAGCACCACAGTTACCACCCCTACCACATAACCATCCATTATCCCTAGTCCCACGTAATTTTCGACATCTAGCCATAACACATAATCAAAATTTTAGACCAACCATATCACAAAGCCCCATCCAACATATAATGACACACCAATCACAAGATGATAATACTTATGAACAAATTATTGAACAACCCCATACCACCGCTTTTCAGTCTCAAAATAATAATTTTTTTAGCCCACGATGAGCCGACAACTCGGATCCCTACACCGATCAAATTCCCACCAAACCAACCTCACCACTCCAATTACAATAATACCACTTTTTGCTTTTCCGCCACCCGATTTCCCATCCAGTAATGTAACATCAGGCATGAATTCCGATACTAATTCACACATCTCAGTTTTATACTCCACTTCACAACTCAATAACCCGAATATTGAAACCCCCGATGAATTTGCCGACTCTGAACCATCTCCATCCAATAATTTCCACACCAATTCTTCAAATTTTTCCCAACCCCCTTTTCAACCCATACTACCAAATAACCCTGACCCAATCAATTCTACACCCTCTTATGCTTCCCAAGTCACTCCAACCTACTCCTCACTTCATTCAGACCAATCATCTCATTCTCCAGACACCCCCCGAATCTCCCCAGAACTAGATAATTTTATTACCCTACAACAACAACCCTACCACCTTGACACCCCAACCATAAACCAAATTTCATCCACAATAGATTCATCCAACCCCCCTACCCCTACACCCTCTTCAATTTATACTGAATCATTAGCACCATCATCCACATCTACTGAATCTTCACTCAGCACTAATAGAGCTTACCGCACTTTTAAAAGAAAGTTCCCCAACCATCCCTTCCCAGCAAAACCAGGAACAGCCCGTGAATATATAAATCATCCAAATCACACTAACACAAAAGAATTTTTAGCTATCACCTTACCCTCATTTCCACAATACACCTTAAATACCCCTCACGACACTAACGAAACACGTAGCTTTGTAGACGAACACGTTTTAATGCCTACACTCCATTGGACATCATATTATCATTTTACTAATCCCCTTTGCCTACCTTTATCTAACACTCACATCGATATAGAACGAAATAAAGACATGCTATATCGACTCACTACACCACTAACACCTAGACAATTTACCTACATTGGATATAAAAAATCACTAAAAACACACACTGCACCCCGAGCTAATGAATATACACTAGAATATTACGATCATAACATCATCAGAACTAACCAAGATCAATTCTTAGACGACGATCGCTTCGCTAACCCACAAATCACCGAGAAATTTTTCATTAAAACACCATATGTATTTACACTAAATATCTTCGATCGCAAGTTTGATCACATTATTTCAGAAGCACTAACAGACACGCAAGCCTACGAAAGTTTTAAAGAACGCTTCCAAATATTTTCACTAACCTTTCATTTCCTTGCACCACATGAAAGAGATTTGCACTGCTCACACGATATTATGTTGCGCACTAAACAAACTCACACATATACATATTATCGTTTCATCCAAAATCACTTTGATCTACACACTCCCTCCAGACAACCACACCATCGTTTTCAATTCATCAATTCAAAATACACCTCACCATTCTTTCTTAACTTCACATATTGCATTAAAGATACTAACCTTCATGGTATTCTTCGAAATTACGATCCCATAACCCAAACGTATATCTTCTGCCCCATCACCAAGACCTTCAACGCCGAAGAATCCCGACCCTTCCTTATCCCACACGAGTTTGTACAACCTATAGAAATCCCCATTTTAGAATTCATCCATAACACTAAATTTAATCACAAATTATATAATCTAATACAAAACACACCTCATGAATTTGCAGTTGGCACTGAAGAACTAACCACCATTAAAGCACTTCAATTGCTTTGGACACTGCTTCAAACTAAAAATATCATCCGCATTTTAGCTAAATTACTAACAATTTCAGATCTCATCCACGACATTTTCCCCCACGGTTTCTTCCCCGACGACTAACAGGTAAGTATGAATTATACATATTACTAACTAGTTAAAATATTAGAAACTCACCATTCTTTATCCACGTCTTATTTAGCATTTTAGCCTTCATCCAACGATCATCTGAAAAATTCACAAAAGAAAAATAAAAAATAGCAAACTTCTTCAACAACTGTTTAAAACTCTATTAAATTTTTGCACCAACAATTAAATAAATATAATACCAAAGCAGTAATTTAATTTATAAATTTTTCCCCCACAAGCAGTAAATCTAATAATCATGAAAATTTGTAACTTAATTTTTCCCAACAAATAGCAGTAAAATTTGAATTTCTATGTAGTAAATTAATAAGAAGCAAATGCAGTACTAACCTTTTGATATTTTCATTCACTCGCACAACAATTCTATCCAAACTCGCACAGCTCGCCCACGAAGAATTGTTTAAAATAATGAATTTCAGTTTCAAGCTTTCACACTCAACAACTCTAACACAAGATAACACGTTTCAAACTTTTCTTTAACCCGGTTGGAAAGGAATTATACACTAAACAACACTAACCAACGCAGCTTACTAAACACCACAAATCATAGAATAACAGCATGATTAAGAAAAGGAAACCAACGGTACCCAAACCGGATTAACCCAGTTTAAAACTGGATAATTTATTCTTTTGAAGACTATTATAAAGTCTAAGAAAGAAATAATAAAACACAAAAAAGTCGAAAGACAAACCCATACCACAAACAATTTGATTTTTGGAAAAAGGACACAACCAACAAAACATAAGAAAAACCACAACAAACCTAACATAAAACGTTGTCACATAACAGGACCTCTCACAAAAACCGCATGCAATCATACTCCCACTCCTGGCCTAACCCACCAGAAGAGGACGTCCTGAGCATGCTATAGCCGGCCTAACCCATCGCGCTACATCCACGCTTTGTGACCACACTCCTATTTTTAATAAGAGCTACTCAAGGGTGAGTTACTCTTCAAAATAACTGAACTAAAACAAAAAGCTTTTGTGAAAACAACTAACTAAAATCATAATTAAAAAATATTAAACTAATAAAAGCTTTATAAAATGTAAATTACATTATGCAATACATAGATCAGAATACAACACCAAGGACGAACATCCAAAGACAAAACGACCCCACTACACTCGAGAAAGAATGGCCAACTACAATCGATATGCCGCTCACAATCACAACTCAAAGGATTTAGAGTACGACTAGACTTCGCAGAAAAGGACTTCATTGAACTAGACCAATGACCACCTCGATGTTCAAGTATACGTACAGATCCGAGTAACCAGGCATCCCCTCCACGCACAATCTCCACGCCATTCCCAGACAAGATCAGACACAAAAGAAGTTCTCCACGAGAATCAGAAAAACCTGACATAGCCAACCATTCTGAAATCAGATTTGAGTTTGTTGCGGAAACACAGTCGTTGTCGCAAGAAGACACAACGTTTGATGTCCCTAATTCCAGCATCCTGGAACTTCTCTAACAAGAGAAAACGGACAAGAAATATGATGTTCGCCAGATACCAACGTCCATCATCCATCCTTCGAATTGCAGAAAAACTATTCTAAAAAACTCTATAAAACCCGGATGGGTGGAACCTGATCTAAACTACATTTTATGATTGGATAAATTAGATATTTTACCAATGTAAAGTATTTAATATTAACCAATCATGATCCATCTAACTAACAATCCACTTATTTGTAAGTGCTGAAATTACTTGTAATTTCAGCACCAGAGAGATTTGAATTTAACTTAGAAAATAGTTGGACTCTCCCGAGTACTTCAGCAGCCGCAATAAACCAGTATACCCTAGATCTATTGAGCCTAGCAGAGACTAGTTAAACACCCTGAGACTAGTAGATATAAGAGTAAGATTAGGATCGGTATTAGACTAAGAAGTTGCACGAATCTATCCGGCCGAAAATAAGATAGCGTGACGAGCAGACGGTGTACCCTATCCGAAATTACTCTATGAGTTACACAAAGGTCCTAACTCAATTTACTAGCTTATCACAAAAGATTGTTCAAAAAAAATTCTGACCAATTTGCTTAAAAACTGATTTTTTATGGCGCCCAGTTCCTTTTAAAAGCTGCATACCCTAGGACAATCACAGACTTATTTTAAAACGCCAAATCCAGATTCAGACTTAAATTGAATAGTCCAGTCGAGGAGTTTGAGTCTGGAAAGTCTTGTCATGGATCAACTTCTGAATACTTTTTTCTGAATAATTTTCTTCGGAATGTTTACTTCTGAATAATATTGATTAAATTAGACATCTTCATTTTAAATTTTAAAACTTTGTATAACTTTAATTTTAAATTTATAGCAAAATCTCAAAACTCATTTTGAAAATTCTTCTCAAATCTTCAATTAGGGCGATATTTCGATTAAAATTGTCAAGACGAGGTATTGTAAATATTTGATTTTGGTGATATCAGGAGTTGCCGTCTATAAGAAGAATGGTCCAAGAGCAGAGCAGACCTAAAATTAGAATAAGCAGAAGCGGATTGATCAATACAAAAAAAATTGTAATTGAAAATCAAACCAAATGACAATCTAACCCGTTGTTGACACGAGCACTAAGACGCTCAATCTTTCTTCGTTGTTAAGCTCCAGAAGCTCAAACAACGGCTTAGTTTAGACAAAAAAACTGCGATTGATTAAAGTCTGATCAGCAGAATCTCTCTTTTGTAAATGAAGAAATTGCATTGTTGAGAGCAGGGGCGGATCTAGGAATTCAAAAAAAAAAATCGAAAACTTTGTAGAAATTATTTTTCTGAGCTCTCCTGAATCACTATGAAGACCTTATTTTGACAAATTTTCTGCGCCGCAAGCAAGTTTTTGAAAAAATAGGCCAAAAAAGCCATTATTAGGCTTTTTTTAGAAAGTTTCAGGGTCAGTCGGACCCCTGAGAGGGAAGGCGTTCGCAGCCCTCCGCCCCTCAAATCGGCTACTGGGCTCGTTTCCACTTTCCTCCTCACAATTGAAGTTAGTTTTGGAAAACTGAATTTACGTAGTCATAACGTTCGAAATTTTATATGGTAAAAAGGGTAATTTTGTAAACATATTTGCTCTTCATACCTTACCTCGTAAATTCAAGCATTCAGTTTTAAATATTGTGGCTCCAAAAATTGTTTGCAGTTGATCTTGGGACCATGTGTAGGATTACTCTAGCGGTCCTCTTTATGATCAGCAAATACGCTGGTCAAGCTAACTGCAATTTAAAAGTACATATATACTCGAATTTTTGCTATTTGCAACTGTTTTACAACTGAAACCCAATAAACTTAAATGAAAATCAAAATTGCTTTGGCTAAAAAGTAAACCCGTGCTATTTGTCATTTAATGTTTCTGTATATTTGATGAATGTTTTTTGTTTTTTGCGACAAGTTTTTCGACCTTGCCGCGACTAATTTTTTGACCACATCGCGACTAATTTTTTGAAGAAGCCGAGACTAATTTTTCGACCATTCCGCTTATAATTTTTTGACAGCCGCGACTTAAAACACTACCTGTTTGTCCGCGAATTAAAACCCTGTCAAGGCTATGGATTTTTGGTATCAGATTCAACATTTCCGCGACCAACAAAGTCAAAAAATTATTCCGGGACCTTGAGCGGGGCAATTATAACATGCAAGTAAGCTGAGAAAATGGAAAACTTGAAAATTGAAAACTTCAACCGCTACTGGTTGAGAGAAAAATTGAATCAAGGAGAAAAGAAGGCAAATTGACAAAAATGTTCATTAAAAATTTTCAAAAACGCTTTTTAAATTTTGCATGAAAATTGTATGATAAGCATTTTTTTCATACATTTCATATATGAAACTGTATGACAAGCATTTTTCTTCTACGGACGTCAACCCGGGAGCGGAGCAAATTGGAGGAGCAGCATCAAAAATCCTGCGGCTTTATTTCATTTTTCCCCCACCTCACATAAGCATCAATTTTATGGTATAACGAGGGGTTTTACAAGGTTAAATATGAAGACCAAACTTTAGTCATGGCCATATTAGTTCGCATGCCAATTTTTGTATCATTCGGATAACGTGAACAAAATTTCACTCGTAAAATTTTGAAGGTGGGGGAAGGAAAAAGAGCCAATCCTACAAATGATGAGCTCTGATGACAACGCCACAGCTCAAGAATTTGCTAAAAATGGTTTCCCGGTTTTTCTAGTTAAGTAAATTGCAACAATTATGAAAGAAAACACGTGATTAGTCCTAACTAGTGGGATCGAAAATGATGATATAACCAGATCTCTCTTTACAATCGCACTCTTTACAATCATCTGAGGATTTTGAAACCGGTTACCTTTCACGTACGTCTTCTATTTCTGTTAAACCAACAGAAAACCTAGTTGCCCTTTGACAATGCGATGTATTTGTGAGTAAAATAAAAACATAACAAACAGCTGTTCAACACATTAGTCAAAGAGATCAGGTTTACTCTGCTCCAACACACTCCTTTTAAAACATTCCTTTTAAAACTGAAAACTCAATTTAATCATTTGTCTTTATAAGACGTTCAATTTACCATTCTTCTTCTTCTAAAGAGATCAGGATCCCCAAACAAGCGAACTTGGTAAGTAACGCCATACTATGCTTTTGTGCCCTTTTCCAGCCCTTTAACCTTGTAAAACCACTCGTTATACCAAACAATTGATGCTTAAGTGAAACAAGACTGCTCGTATCAGGGCGAAGCCCTGAATGTTCCGACCGCCTTTTAAGGTTTTATGGAGCAGTAATAACATTAAAAAATTAAATGTAACTAAATAAAATAAAAAATTTTTTTTCTAAAATTTGAAATTTTTATGAAAATCATCCCCCCACACGCCATTTAAAGTACAAAAAGATAGATTTAGCTCCTTGTAACAAATCAATCATGGCAAATAAGCTTCTTTCAACCAATTTGGAACAATTTTAAGACGGATTAACTCTCCGCTTACGCGTTAATAGCGCGAAAAATATCGCACGTTAATTGTCCCAAATTGGCCAAAATGGCAATCTTTAAACCCCCATAACTTTAGCAAAAAAAATCACAGGTAAAATATCTTTCAAATTTAAGCTCAGAACAACAATACCTTTCGAATGATATAAAAAAATTCCGTCAAAAATGGCTAGTTAAAAAGTCGAAATTTGTCTGAAGAAAAAAAAACACCGAGCACAAATATTCCGTTACTTTCGTATCGAAAGTCGGAACAATAAGGGGGTAAAGCCACGCGTGTGTTACGATATTACGTATGAATGTTGGTTTGTTCACCGTGCCAGTTTTCTTCGCGTTACGACAATATAGTAGTTTTTAAAATTCTGAAAATGAAAGGTGGGAAGAAACTGGAAAAGAGGGCTCTTCTTTTCTTTTCAGCAGAACATGTAAATTTCATGTGACCTCTTGGTTAATTGTGAGGAGCTACAAATTTGGATATCAATCATTTCTGTTGATACCAATAATTATTTAGATTCTTGAGAGAGTTTCTTTTATCACTACTAAAGGTGAGCAGGTACCTGCCTGTCAATCAATCTAGGTCTGTCTAGATGTTGACCTCTACGTCTAATTCAGTGTCTGAATCATACGTTGAAGAAACAAATTGAATTTACTCTTAACGAAAGTACCGTTTTACTAACCCTTGTTATAATAAATCGTGTCTAGGATTGATTACAAACAATCAATGGCTCTTTTTCCTTTCCCCCACACATGCATCAATTTTATGTTGTAACGAGGGGTTTTACAAGGTTAAGTATGAACACCAAATATGTTTGTCATAGCCTAGTCAGTCCGCATGCCAGTTTTTGTAACAACCCGATAATGTGAACAAAATTTTACTAGCAAAATTTCGCTGGTGGGGGAAAGGAAAAAGAGCCCAATCAATTATATAAATTAAACTGCACTTGGCACCAATTATTTAATTATTTTTTGATTTGTACAGATGCGTGTTTCTGTAGAAGGTATGTTTTTTTTGCGAAGTTTCTGCAGGAAGTGAAATCCATTTTAATGCAGCATTTTACCTCTTTGCCTTTTTTGTTGTTTAAGCACCAATCTTTTGGTATAAAGGTGGTTTTAAAATGTAAAGTTTGAAGTCCAAATATGAGCTCCTTTTCCTTTTCCCCCGAATCACATAAGCACTGTATTTATGGTATAACGAGAAGTTGTACAAGGTAAAATATTGCAACAAAATATGTTTGTCTTGGCCAAAATTAGTCTGCATGCCAATTTTTGTAATAATCGGAGGCACTTTTTGTTCCGACTTTCGATACGAAAGTAACGGAATATTTGTGCTCGTGGTGGGTTTTTTTTTCTTCAGACAGTTTTCTACTTTTAACTAGCCATTTTTGACGGAATATTTTTATATCATTCGAAAACTATTGTTGTCCTGAGCCTAAATTTGAAAAGATATTTTACCTGTTATTCTGGCCTTTTTTATAACTTTTTTTATAACTTATAAAAACAGTAAACAGAATCGGTTTAATTCAAGAGAATCAATAAACGGCAAATTTTAGTAATTTTTATTGCACGGAATTAGCAACAACATTACACGTATCAAGTTAAAAAGTGGGCTTGTTCATGCCCTGATTTGTGTGATTTATGTGTTTTTTCACAATGAGTTTATACTTAGTTCACGCAGTTTAATTAACAGAAACTCAATTGCAAACCAATTTTGAACCGATTAAAATATTAGCATTTTATGTTCTGTCAGGTTCGGCTCAAATAGGATTCTCAAATGAAACGACTTAGGTGAGAATCGAACCCACGCCGAACTCCCCGGAACGCACTATGTATACGCTGAGCTATATAGCTGATATTGCTAAGCAACTATACTGGCTTTATACTATACTTTCATACTTTAATGCTATGTAGCATTAACATCCTCCACCCCCGAAGGAGCGAGAACCGGAACGAGCTTAACGAGCGGCCGAGTGTAGTTTCCGGAAACGGTCCTTAGGTTTGCGGAGCGGGCGGTGTTGTCTTTGCCGTAGTTTAGCGACGTTATGCGTGCTAGTGGGTAGTGGCCCCTAGGGCTAGTGGATTCAACTAACCACACCATATCTCCCGTTTTCAAAGAGTATTCGGGAGGAGCATGCCACTTAACTCTTTTATTGAGTGTAGGGACGTACTCACTTAACCATCGCTTCCAAATTGCGTTTGCGTACGACTGCGCACGGGCATAGCGCTTAGAGTGAGAATAGTTTTCATTCGACCTTAGAGACGGAAACGTTAGACTGTGCTGACCTAAGAGGAAATGATTCGGCGTCAAAGCCTCAAGACTATCGGGGTCGTCAGAAACGGGAGTGAGTGGACGGGCGTTTAGTGAACCTTCAACTAGGCACATGGTTTTGTTCAAAATCTCGTCAGTCAACTTTCTTGACCCTAAGATTGCATAAAACACACGCTTACAACTGCGCACCATTCGCTCCCATGCTCCACCTTGATGTGGTGCACTTGGCGGAGTATACTTCCACTTAATGCCTTTGTGTACGAGCGACAGTGGAGCTTCTGCGTTCCAATTTTTGATGCACAGAAGAAGCTCTTTTTCGGCTCCTACAAAGTTTGTTCCGTTGTCCGACCAAATTATTGAGGGTGTTCCTCGCCTAGAAATAATGCGCTCGATAGCCATCACACATGAACTTGTGTCCATGGATGGAACCAACTCAATGTGAATTGCGCGAGTCGTTAAGCAAGTAAATAGAAAACCCCAGCGTTTCTCGGAAGATCGACGAATGGTTACATGAAATGGTACAAAATAATCGACGCCGCAGTTCGAGAACGGTGGCTGGCGGTAATCTAGACGCTCCGCGGGAAGGTCAGACATCATTGGAGTAACGGTTTTCGCTTTTCGCTTCTACAGAACACGCAATGTGTTTCAATAGCTCTTAGTGCAGATCTTAAGCGTAGTACAACAAATTGCTGATGAATGACGGAACGAAGGTAGTCGACTGACTGATGTTCGTGCTTAATGTGATAAAAGCGGAGAAACAATCGGATTAGGCGATGGCGGCTATCCAAAATTATTGGATGGCGAGTTTCGAATGCGGTTGCAGAGAGACGTTGGATACGGCCGGTAGATCTAATTAAACCGTTCGGCCCGATAAAAGGCGAATACGATGATATACGGCTCGACGTTTTCACATATTTTCCAGCTGCTAATTGTTTACTTTCAGCTGGGAATGACTCTAACTGCGAAAGTTGCAAAAGTTTTTCCTCTGAAATAACAAGTTCTGCTGGATCAATTATGGCCTTATCTGGTGAACTGAAATGTCTATGTTTAGGTGAGAGTCTCAACATATATGCGACCAATCGCTTTATCTTGGAGAACGAGCTATACTCTTCCCAAGGGAAGGCAAAGTCAGTCGAAACTGCAGTGCACGGAAAATTGGAAGAGACCTCTAAACCCTCGTTTAGATCGTAGACCGGACCATCCAGGCGAATTTTGTCAGTAACTTCCCTATTTGGATTGAAAGGCCAATCAGAAGTTTTCAAAAAGGAAGGGCCGTTTACCCAACTGCTTTGCTTGAGGGAGTCAGCAGTAATACCTCTAGTTCCGGTGTCAGCGGGGTTGTCTCCACTCAAAACATGAAACCATTGGTCAATTGATGTTGACTCCAGAATCTCGGCTACTCGATTGGCTAAAAACACGGGCTGTTTGCTTGTCGAGTTCAACCACTGAAGGACTGTTGTGCTGTCAGTCCACATGAACACTTTGGAAATACTCAGTGTCAGAGCTTTCTCGATATCATCCTTCAGCCGACTGGCAAGAAGCGCAGCCTGAAGTTCCAACTTCGGAATTGAAAGCATCTTCATCGGGGCTACCCTTGCTTTACCGAAAACAAACGCTAGTTGACATTTGGAACAGGCGTTTTTTTGAACTCGAAGGAATGCTACAGAACAGAAAACGTCCAATGAGCTATCACCGAACATGTGCAGCTCAACCTCATCTACTGAGAACTCAAAATAGCAACGAGGTATTTTGAGCTGCCCTAAAACTGGCAAGCCAGAGTGCCATTCAGTGAAACTGCGGCACAACTCAATTGGCAGTAGGTCGTCCCACTGTTGGCCACTCAATCTCCAGATATCTTTCAGTAACAAACGTGCGCGTACGGTATACGGGGCAACAAGACCTATGGGGTCGAACACGGAGTCTTTGAGTTCGCGGTTGACTCCTCTGCTCACAACCAACGTATCGGTGACGTGGTCCCATTTGAGACCGAGAACATGCAATGCGGTTTCCGGATTAATCGCAGCGGTAATAATTTCCTTACTGTTGTTAGCGCTGGTCTTAGGGGGATTTAGTTTCGAAGACAAATTGGGAACGTTGCTGCTAATAAATTTTGTAAGATTAAACCCACCCAACTTAAGCAGTTCAACTAAACTGCGACTTAACCTTAAAGCAGTTTCTGGGTTTTTCACAGACCCAAGGTAGTCATCCATGTAAAAGTTGTTAAGCACGGCGCAACTGCATCGGGTTAACGATCTTGGTTATCGACGGCTGTTCGGCGAAGAGCATAGTTAGCACATGTCGGAGAATCTTTCGCTCCAAATATATGCCTTGTATTTTGAAATACACTCACATTTGATGTGAGGTCCTCCCGCCACAAAAAACGCAAGGAACGTTGATCGTTTTCTAGTAAGCCGACCTGCATAAACATGCCTTCGATATCTGCGGAAATTGCGTATTTGTGCTCTCGGAAGCGCATTAAAACGAATAAAAGGTTCTGAAGCAGATCAGGGCCGACTAGAAGGGAGTTATTCAGTGAATTGCCGTGAAACCTAGAAGCACCGTTTAAAACGCGCCGAACTTTGCCGGGTTTGTTCGGATTTAAAACTGGGTGGTGCGGTACGTACCATTCTCGGTCTGAATGGTTTTTTGAGTCGTGAGGGCTAACCGGGACCACGTAACCCTTCTCGACATCACTTCGGATATCTGATGCGTATTGAGTTTTCAGGTTTAAATCTTTCTCTAGACTCTTTTCAAGAGACTTAAGCTGGACTAACGAAGCGTAAAAGTTATCGGGAAGATAAATATTGTCAGCAGCCCAGAGCATTCCGGCAATATAACGACTGCCATCATGAATCGTGGTAGAGTCAAGAATTTTTTGTGCACGTTTATCAGCTGAGGAACGGGGATCAGCTTGTTTAAACGTGCCATACGACTCTGGCTCGTACCATTTCTTCACTTGGTCAGCAAGTGCTACGTCTTCAACATTGCACTTGAAAGTGGTGGCTCGAACACCAATTGGTGATGGAAGTGGGCCACTGAGAACCCAGCCAATGGGCATACGGACAGCGACAGGAGTGTTTTGATTTCGTCCTTGGAAGTATTCGAGAGGCTTGATTGCATGAAAGACATCCTGCCCTAATATCATCTCAACGTCGGAAAAGTTGTAGACAATAGGTTTAATTGGCTGTAGATGTGGAAACCTGTCTTGGAGAATGGTAACGTCAATGGTTTCGGAACCAACGCTCAAACTGTCTTTCACAAACGGCGTAACCCTAAACGAGTATTCATGGTGGTCGAATTTGGCAAAACATTCACTTCGACTTGTTGCGTGGGAACGGATACCGTCGAATTGAAGCCGTTTACCAGAATATCTAGCTGTTGGCCAGTTAAATTTAAACGCTGGGCTAGGCCCGCCGAGACCCATGAGTGGGTACAACAGGAATCGCATATTACAAGAGCAGTGGTCACATCTGTGTGTGAACTTATTTCCAATTGAAGCACAGGAAGGAGTCCCGTTAGTTTCTTGTAAGACGACGAACCGGCTACGTTCGATGATGAAGTTTGCGGCTTATTCCGGTTCGGCGGGGCGGTACTGTTTGAATTCGAATGGCTTGCATTATTGCTATTGTTTAAGTCTTTCTTTGCAGACCTTACCCTGAAAACTTTCTCAGCACTATGTAACAAGACATTATGGGTGCTTTCACAACCAGGCTTAGTGCATTTGCGGGCTTTAGGGCATTTTCGGAACATGTGATCAGGTTGAAAGCAAGCAAAACACAACCTATTTTGTGCGGAGAATTGAGCTCGTTGAGTTGGGGTCTTTTCCTTAAACACAGAACAACTCCAGAGTGGGTGTTTACCATTGCACTGGAGGCACGGAGCATAAATTGGTTTTTCAACTTTTGAAGCAGCGGCAAAAACTTTTGTAGGTGGTTTATGAAAACCAGTCTTTGGAGTCTCCTCAGGTCGTGACTTATTCTGACTCACACGCATAAGTTCATGTGCCTCAGCCTTGTCGCGGAGCCAATCATTAAAGTCTAAAACGGTTGGCTGTCTCCAACATTTCTTTACAGAGTGGAGAGACCATGACTCTGTCATATTTGGAGGCAATTTTGAAATAACTTGATTCAAAACGGATGTACTCTTCAAGTCATACTCATATCTTAACGATTTTAAAACTGTGACAAGACTGGATATACAGGAAGCGAAACTGATAATGCTTTCTGAATTGTGCATTTTGAGAGGTGGAAAATTCGAAAGTTTTTCAAGATGAGCTGCCACAATCGTCTGTGGTTGTCCAAATTTCCTCTCTAGAGTTTTCAAAGCGTCCTTGTAGAATACTCCACTGTAAGCGAATTCGGCAATTGCATTCTTCGCTTTGCCTGAAACGAGAGTTTTGAGATAAGTCAGTTTGACATCATCACTTAAAACTTTTGCATCGATTGCCCTTTTGAACTGACCAAACCATTCAGGCCACTGCAACGGATTTCCGTCGAAAGAAGACAATTTCAATTCAGGCAAGGGACCTTTCTGGCTCAGTGTCAAGATTTCAGCTAGATCTTGATTTGTAATTGGTTTACTGCTCGAGGACGTAAATGGGCCATATTGTTTGTTCTCATTTTTATAAGGCGCCATCAGCGGTTTTGAATAGATTGCGGCGTCTAAAGTTTTAGGATCACCGACATAAAAAGTTGTTCCTCCGCTAGAGAACGGTTGAACATTCAATGGCTGTGTGACATAATATGAGTTAGGGGAGAAGGTGACTGTTGGAGGATTGAGAGGACCAACGTTAGTTGGTAAAAGCGGTTGGTACACAAAATTTGCGGAATTACTTGGGAAAAAGGTTTGTTGAGCAATGGGCATTGAGCTCGTCGGGATATTAGAATGATGAAAACTACTCTGCATCAAAGGGTTGTAGTTGTATAGCTCGGTCGAAGGTAGCTGTGCCTGTGGCTCATACGTACTGTTTAACTTTGGGTTTGGCAAGCGGACACTTGTATTTGATGTATAAGGGACGTTAACACTCTGTGAGTTTATACACGTGGTTTCGAAATAATCAGCAAATGGAAGTGAGTTATTAATCATCGTCAGATTTCTACTGAAAGGCGGTTCAATACTTGAAAATGACAAGAACTCGGAAGCTGGTTCCAGATTGACACTTTGGACTGGCGCCACGGGCTGAACTATCTCCTGAGTTGGGAATTGAGTGTTCACCCAACTTCTTGTCCTGTCTTCCTCCGTTTGGTTCTCCTGAACGGCCATTGCCAATTTCGATCTGCTACGACGAAATTCACAAATTTCAGAGGCTTCTTCCAGATATTCAGCCTCTTCGATAGTTGCTTCAGCTAGCTTTTGACGGCTTTCCTCTACAACCACATCAAGATCAAGTTGACCCTTCATCGACTGAATCTGGATCTCTTGCTTTTTCAAACGAAGCTTAGCCTCTACTTGGCGTTCAACTTCCTCGCGTCTAATTTTTGCAAGGGCTGCTTCTCTTCGACGCTCACTCGAAGTCATTGATGCAATCTTAGAACGCTGTGAAAGGGGTTTCTTGGAACAGACGGATTCGCTTGGCGTTGGGGTTCGTGCAGTTGCTACCTGGTCCTCTTCATGTGTAAATTGAAAGTAACTTTTAGCTAGACCTAATACATCGTCATGTTTTGCAGTGGTAGATCCTAGGTAAAACTCAAGTTGATTTATTGTTTCAGCAGCGTTGTTGCTGTGCATAGACAAAGATTTAAGCTCATCATTTTTCTCTATAATTTTTTGTAAGCAAATGCTAGATTTTTCTATGCACGTTTCAATTTTAGCTGGTCTATCATTCGCACTTATATATTCCGTAATTTTGGCATGGTAATCGAAAAGATTTGTTTCTAACTCTTTCCTGGCAAGATAAATTTTGTTTAGCTTCTGGCCGAGATCAAGCTCCATTTCGAAATATTTGTTTTTAAATAAGAGCAAAAAAAATAGTGTCGGTTGACGGAATCAAACTAGAGTCAATTCAAGTAGCCGCGTCCTATACCGAACGAGAGGATCCTCGCAAGACCCCTACAATTCTCGTTGCCTACGGAACAGAAGGACAACAAACTACAAGATTGAAAATAAAGATGAATTTAACTAATCAAAATAAACAAGGTTTATAATGCCTAACAAATGTTAAATATTCTTCGACTGTTGTCATTTGTGAAATCTTTTGCTTATCTGCTTTTCTTTTCCTTGAACTTGGTCGACGACTTTTAACTTTATTGATAAGTTCGGACAGATTGGGGAAATAACGTCGAATGATTCTCAAATTTTTTATTTCTAAAAACGCCGGAGGAAGAATTAATTTAAGCTTACGAATTAAATCTTTATTGCTAGCTTTTCTTTTTGATATTAAATGTTTGGTCGCATTAATTGTTAATATTCCTATTTCAACCAAACGTCCGTAAATATTAGGGGTATTTTGACGGTGTACGTAAATAATGGCTGATAATTTGTTTTTATACTCTTCTAAAATTTTAATCAGACTTTCTGGTGTAAGTGGCTTATCGTTGTTTGATCTATGCTTGCTCAATGAATTATTTATAACATCATGCCAAAT